ACCCCTATGTTCATAGCAGCACAGTTTACAATAGCTAAGATCTGGAAACAGCCCAAGTGCCCACCAGTAGATGAGTGGATAAAAAAGCTGTGGCACATTTACACCATGGAAAACTATGCAGCTGTAAAGAAGAAGGATCTCTTATCCTTTGGCACAGCATGGAGGGAACTAGAAAGAATTATGCTAAGTGAAATAAGCCAGTCAGAGAAAGACAAGTAGCACATGATCTCACTTAGTGTGGAATATAATAAACAAAATAAACTGATCAACAAAATGGATCCAGAGACACAGAAGCATGGAACAGACTGAGGGATCTCAGAGGGAAGGTGGGGATGGGGGAGTGGGTGGGGAGAGATTAATCAAAGAACTTACACGTTTATAAGCATAACCCATGGACATCGACACTGGTATGGGGAAGGCCTGGGGGTGGGGTAGATGCAGGGTGGAGGGGATCAATGGGGGGAAAAAGGGGACATCTGTAATACTTGTCAATAAAGATTTTTTAAAAACACAGTAAAATTTTATTAAGAAAAGTGGTAATTCATATTACAAATGTGAATTCCATTCTATCTTTAAATATTCAAAAACTATAAAATGGATGCCTCTATAAGGCAGGCAAAAATATCACAACCACTTCCTTTACATGGGGTTTTCTTGTCAACAAGGACCTTTGCAAATGCCCAACTCAGTGCCTATGTACTATACGCAAAGGCCAAAGAATTTTTCAAATTGTCCTTCAGAAAATTCAGCAGTGGAAGAGTCTTGAGCAGGGTAAAGCCAGAGGCAACCAACATTTTCCGAATGCATGTTTCATCTCGCTCTCAAGCTGCTGGACCTGCGGCCCTGGCTCTGCCTCCTCGGGGCCCGGCCCGGCCGGCGCACCTGCTCGTTGACGCGGGAGCGCGACGGCCCGTGGTGGATGAGGATCTTCACGATCTCCTCGTCGCCCTTCCAGGCGGCCAGGTGGATGGGGAAGTAGCCTTTGTTGTCCGCGACATTTGTCGATGCCTCATACTGAAGTAATTTGAGGACTATTTCCCTAAGAGGGGAAGAAGGGAGAAAATAAAAATAAAAACACACAACAGAGAAGAAAAGATGCTGAACAGCAGTGGTTTGATGAAAAAGATCGTTATACAAGCACATTAGCTGCTAGGTGGCAATTTGGAGGAATCATCGAGGTACCAAGAGGTAAAGTCGGGTTCGAGAACCTACTTGCTCAGCATCTGGTGGTTGTGCTGACCTGCAAAACCCCCGCGGCCACACACACACACACACACACACACACAGCCCTGGCTAGTGAAACTACTTGATAGAATTCATTTGGGAGAAATTGATCAGATTCCATGAACTGAATGAATTAAGTAAAATAACTGAAAAGCAGACCTTTTCCCATTTTTTAAAAGTAGTTCTTTCCAGTTAGCCCATGCCTGAGATTTAGCCTAAAGAAAAACTTGAGGTACGAACAAACTCCTTGCTAAAAAACAAAAAAAAAGGTCATTATACTACCAAGAGGCATTGAGGGAGTCTCTGCAGCATTCCTGTTGGGAACTGGAATACTATGGAAATGCCCAGGCAAGAGAGAGCAGACAGGGCTGTAAGAAAGGGCTCTTACAGGCTAGCTGCAGTACCAGCCCAAGGCTGAAAAAAACTTCAGTGACTTTCCAGCCATGGCTCACAGTATATTTTGTATACATCAGCACTCCTTCACCTTTGTCTTCTCAAGCCTAAGAAATCATTTCAAGAGGGAAATTCATTTTTGAGGCAAGTTCTACCATTGATGCAATTTCAGTGCATACTCAATATATCCTGCCTATAGGAATGTGTGCTAAATCCCACTAGGTTTTCAAAGTAAGAGTTCTGAATTGCAATACACAACTTCAGGAGGAATTAATTCATAATTATTGGTACACATGACACTGAATTTTGTAACAAACAGTCAAAAACAGTCATTCTGAACAACTATATCTTAATTTGGATGCATTTAAAAACCAAATTCTATCAATTCACTCAATAAAATCCTCGATAGACAAATACAGACAGACAGACAATCATAATATATTCTAAAGTTGTATATAACAAATCACCAGTGGTGAGAGTGAATGTAACATAGAGAGCCAAATTTAAATATTTCCTAAAGCCAAGTTTTAAATGCAACAAATGAGAAAAGTTGGAGGAAATGTGAATAGAGGTTCGAGCTCTGAGAGCCCGCTGTAGGGGTTTGAATGAGTCACTCAAGAAGTGCCTTTGTGGTATGCGGACTGTTCTGAGCCAAAGGCAATTGAGAGAGGAAGAGAGACAGAGAGTAAAAGACAGGTCTCTAGCCTATCTATTGAAATAATTTATGTATAATTGTTGCCAGTGGATTTTGTTCTACTGACCATGATTTTTCTATCCTTTCAAGGTAATAATTTTCTAATCTCCAATTACAAATAACCCAGGAAATCATCCACAGACTCTATTTTCTATTGTGTCCTAATTTGGCTAAGTGGAGATGAATTGTCCATTATAAAATAATGTATTTCAGGTACAAAGTGCTGCTCCACTTGTGGATTAATTAGTGTTGATAAAAAGCGCTACCAATAAAACACACAAAATAAGAGGAAACGGGCTTAATATGCAGTAGGAAGTCCTTAGATTATATGTTGGGAGTAGGGAAAAAAACAAAAGCCTGTGTTCAAAGCAAAGGAATTAACTATAGGACCCTGTAACATTACTTTCAGATCTATGATTCCATAAACTTCAGCCTAGAAATCATAATGCTTATGGAAACAATCTAGAGCTGATGCTACAACAATAGCAACAAACATCGAAATGATGTGTTTCCATGCTGACTGCTAAGGCTCGCTGGGAAAGAACAGAATAATCCATTGTGCTTTACCTGTGCCAAGTGAGAATAGCAGAGGCAAGGAAAAGAAAAACCATTCTTCTCTGGCTCTGAGATATACTCTACGACACTTTTCCTCCTTCAAACATCTTTTCTTAAGACAACAGTAAAATTAGCATTCCATGTGCACGTGAACGCACTGGTTGATAATAACACGAGGCAGGCAGAGAAAAGCCGGCAGGAGTTTAGAAAACTGATGTGCAAAGAGCCACAAAGGGGAGAAAATGGAGAGTGCTGGTAAAATCATATCCTTTGAACTGGGACACTTAGACTCTGGGCACAAGCCCACCTTAATATCCAAGTGGCCACTAAGTCACTTATCCAGAATGGCCTTGCTTTTCCATCTATAGGTGAGGGAAGTGAGGAGGGTAGAGTAGAATAAATGATCTCTAATTTTAAAAGTCCATAATTTAAATGATTTACAATAAAGAAGTCTTATACTCTAGATGAAAATCCAAATTTCAGGGACGTAGCATCATAGTACATAACTGACCCACAAATAATACCAAAACAGTACATCGTAAGATATTATAATTGAAAGAAACAAGGAAAAATACCCATTCTACATATTCAGTGCATTAAACTGAGGCCTAGAGGGGTTAATTAAATGGCTCAAGGTCATATAACCAGCAGAGACAGGGAGAAGGGATTAGAAATTTCCTGCTTTTTTCCAATGCCTATAGAATGACTCTGAGTAAAATCTTTCTAGAAAGTGTTAAAAAGAAAAGATAAATGAGATCTTCCAATAAGCAAAGCAGAGATATATAATTCTCAGAGACTATCTGCAATTAAAGAGGTTTTAAAAGATAGCTAGCAAAATCCCCGATCTCTTTATGATGATCTTAATGAATGCTATGCAATTCACTTAAATTAGCTTCACTTTATATGTTGCTAATAGAAACTAAACATTATGCATCGGGCCGAAGGGCAATATATCTCAATGATCAGAATTTCATAGGCCATTATGGATACATCAATAACATTTACTGAACATTTCGAACCAAGGATGGAAAGGAATGCTAATCTATTTGGGGACAACATTATTTTGAGAAGTGCTTATACTGCCAAGCTGAGATAAAAGAAGAAAAGTAGTATAGGTCACTCGGTCAGGCCTGAGATCTTTGGTCCATTATGTGTTAGTTTATGTTCCCAATTAGAACTTTCTAGAATCCAAACCTAAGATGGTCAGAGAAGCCATCAGCATTGTGTACCTTGGGCTGATCTAATCTGACTTCATTCCTGACCATCCAGGCACAAAGAAAAATAAACAGTAACTCCTTTAAAAGATTTAGATGGTAAGGATCTGGACACACTTTCCACTCTACAAGATAGCAAAATAGTTGAGAAAGACCTGGAAGAATAAAACAGTTCTAAGTTAGATGACATAAGATACTATGTGATATAGAACAGGGAGCAGATGAAGACAAATATAATTTGGAAATTGTGATACTAAGCATCCAAGTGATGAAGCACTAAATTTATGATAGTTTATGTAATTCAGATGATTCTTCAAAAAGAATAGCCATGTTAGGTGTATGCGGTAAGTTTTAAGGCTAAAAAACAGTATTGTGTTAAATAATGACAAAAATTATAAGTTTCCTGTGTGAGGACTTTAAGGCCATAAAATGTGATCCAGTAGAACTAAGTCCCTGTGTCTCAATTCAGAGTAAAAAAAAACATTAGGTGGGAAAGCAAAAAGTAAGTAGCATTTTTAAGGCAGTAATTACCACATCTAAAATAACTGAAGTGAAATGAAATGATCCAGATCTGAGAAGACAAACTGGGATCATGAGAACAAAGGAAAAACAGATAGGGGGAAGAGACACATGAAAAGTGTCACTTGTCCTCTGGTGGGGAGGGAAGGCCAGAACAAATCATTCAGAGGACACCTTGCACTTTACCCTGTCACTAAACCATGAGGTTACCTAGCTAAAACACTGGGAATGCAGTCGTTGCTATGGTTACACATTTTTTCACTCTTCATACTGTATACTATTACATTATCGGAAACATAATTCCATACGTTACACAAGTTTAAAACCAAAAAAGCCATCATGAATGACAAAGAAAAAGCATTTGAGCTAAATGTGAAGGATTTTGAAGTGGTTCGCCCGTGGCTCATAACAGCAAGAATAGATTAAGATTTTACTCCTAGCCCAGCCAGTGTAGCTCAGCGGTTGAATATCGACCTAGGATCCAGGAGATCGAGGTTTGATTCCCGGTCAGGGCACATGCCCGGCTTGCGGGCTTGATCCCCAGTCGGGGGCGTCCAGGAGGCGGCCGATCAATGACTCTCTCGTCATTGATGTTTCTATCTCTCCCTCTCCCTCTCCCTTCCTCTCCCTGAAATCAATAAAGACATATTTGAAAAAATAAAAAGATTTTACTCCTAATGAATAATGCTAGGTGAAGACACCAAAAAAAGGTAGGGTGGTATGATTCGGTGGTCTTACCCCACTGCCTCCCCAAAGCCACGCGATTAGCATGTCCTGTCACTCTGCCATCTGACCAGCTTAAAGCCATCCTCTTGGTCTGCACTCTGCCCATCATCACCCCCAGCAACATTCCTCCCAAGTTCAACCTGCAGGTGTCGCTATCCGATGCTCCCCAAATTCCTGTCGGCCCAGAGGAACTCATGGCAACATGAGACAGCCACCGCCAGACATAATTAGCTCCATCGCATGTAACGAAATACACAGGGCTTCCCGTCCAAAGAAGTGGCACTTACTTATGTCCATTTAAGGCCGCGTGGTGTAAAGCAGTGTAACCCGAACTGTCTGTGCAGTTTACGTTGGGGCCTCGCCAGATGCTGCAAACAGAGCACAGCGCAGAGTTAACGGTCAGGCGAATCGTGCAGTAGAAAACAAAAAGCAGCCCGGCGGTCCCGCAGCCAGCAACCTGTCACATGTGAAAATTCCAGTCATGTGAAAAATGATCGCCACCTTCCATACATCCCCCTCGGAGCAATAACTTCATTTATTTGATGCAAGGAAATTATTAGGGAATATAACTACCTGCAGACATTATTAGCAAACGCAGGCCCACTGCCATACATTAAAACCCGGATCCAACATTTCCCTGTTACTATATATCATTACTCAAATATTGGAAGCAATTTACATTCGGCCACTATATTACAGACTAAAGACTAAAGATTTATGACACCTGCCTCTTCCCTTTTAACACGCTCATTCTAAGATGGCACTGATTTATGTAGCTTTTAGGATTATTTTTGCATTATGGGAAGAATCCTAGACATAACACAGAACTATAGAAAAGAGTCCATTGTATTCTTGATCACTAAAATTACAGAAACTATGTTTAGCTTTTAAATAAATAAGGCATCGAGAGACACTTTTCCAAAAGTAGACCAAAAGATGACTTTATCTAACGTTCATGATGATATTTAAGACATCAAAACTAACATCTAATGACCAGCTAATTCATGTATTCACACAATATTTATTGCACCCCAATTGTGCATGTCACATATTAAGCCAGGCACTGAGAGTACAGAATCATAATTCAAGTCTAATGGAGAAGAGGGACACATAAACTAACAATTACAAAGTAGTCAGATAACTGAAGGACCAGAGAGCACAGGGGCTTCTCAGAGAAGAAAGAAATAGCTATTCCGAATGAGAGGTCATAACTGACTTAATCTAAGGTGGGCCAATAAAAATGAATGGAATGCACTTATTCAAAAGTTAATTAAAAGGATAAATTTTTTTTTATTTTTCAATTACAGTTGACATTCAATACTATTTTGTATTTGTTTCAGATGTACCTCATAGTGGTTAGACAATTACATAGTTTATGAAGTGATCTCCCTGACAGTTCTAGTGCCCACCTGGCACCGTACGTAGCTATTACAATATTATTGAGTATATTCCCTATGCTGTACTTTATATCCCTGTGACTATTTTGTACCTTCTTAATCCCTCCAACTTTTTCACACACACCCCACCCTCCCATCCAGCAACCCTCAATTTGTTCTTTGTATCTGAGTCTGTTTCTGTTTTGTTTGTTCATTTATTTTGTTCATTAGATTCCACATACAAGTGAAATCATATGGTATTTATCTTTCTCTGTCTGACTTATTTTCTTAGCATAATGCCCCCTAGGTCCATCCATGTTGTTGTGAATGAACAGTACCTGATTTTATAAAGCTCTAGTAAACAAGACGGGTAATATGGTATTGGAGTAAAGACAGATCGACAGAACAGAATGAAGGAACAGTCAATTTAGACCTTCACATATATGCAACTGATCTTTGACAAAGGTGCAATGGCAATTCATTAAAGAAGTTAATTATCAAAAATTTGTTCTGGAACAAATGAATCAATATCCTTAGGCAAGCTAAATAAAAAGAGTCTTGATCCATACTTCACCATACCATATACAAAAATGAACTTTAAAATGAATCATAGCCCTGGCTGGGTGGCTGTTAGTTGGAGTGTCATCCCACCCACCAAAAGGTTGCGGGTTCCATTCCTGGTCAGGGCACAGACAGGAGGCAACTGATCAAGGTTTCTCTCTCGTATCAATCAATCTCTGCTTCTCTCTCTCTCTCTCTCCCTCTTCCTCTCTTTGAAACATATTCTTGGGTGAGGACCTAGCTGGTTTGGCTCAGCGATTGGAGCATCGGCCCGTAAACTGAAGGGTCCCGGGTTCAATTCCAGCCAAAGGCACGTGCCTCAGTTGCAGGCTCAATCCCAGGCCCTGGTTGGGGCAAGTGCAGGAGGCAACCGGTCAATGTGTCTCTCTCACATCGATGATTCTCTCTCTCTCTGTCTCTGTGTCTCTCTCTCTGAAAAAGCAATGGGGAAAATATCCTCAGGTGAGGTTAAAAAAAACCACAAAAAGCAAATCACAGAATGCTGTGTGTGTAAATATCCTAAATGTTTTACATACATGTCTTAACTCATTTACATGCACACAACTAAAAAAACAGATACTATTCTTATACAGATGGAAAAGATTTGCATTCACATAGAAAAATGCATGCCAAAAATACATATTCACCTCTCGATTGTGTGAACTGTCAAAATTACCATGTAATTCTTTGAGGAAAAACCAAGAGACAATAAAACCCAAGGGGAGAAAAGCATGGTTTGCTCCAGGTTGTGAAGAGACTTATAACAGGGCGAGAGGCTTAGTCTTGATTGTAGGCAACCTGGACCTGGGGGGTTATGGCGAAGGTATTAAGATGCTTCCCACGCGTCAGGCCAGTGTTGGGGTGAGTGCTCTGGGGGCGGCTGCAAGGGAAACTGGACAGACTGGGGGCAGCGGCCTCGGGGAGAAACAGGGAAATCGGAGCTGCCGGAGCTGCAGTGGGGATAAAGGAGAGGGGAAGATTCACACAGGTCGTCTACATAAGACCTCTGGGGAACGGCATCCACACGACAGGGTGAGAGAGAAAGAATAACTAAGGCGCGGCCGTAAGGGAAGCGCGAGCACGAGGAGACATCTCCACTAGAGCAGTGGTGTCCTGTGGGAGAGCCAAGTTGCCTTTTTTTTTAATTTATCTTTATTGTTGAAAATATTACAGATATCCCCTTTTTTCCCCCTGATTGGCCCCCTCCATCCTGCTCCCATCCCCTCCCCAGGCCTTCACTGCACTTACCTCTGGCACAGGACAGAAAAGAAATGAGAAAATATTGTAAATTAACTCAAATTATTTTTTTAAATTTCCTGCATGTTATTAGACCTTATAAATATTTAGTGAGGAAAGAAACTGATATTCATAACTAAAATAGGCTCAGGGTCGCTAGATTTCATTTACCTAAACCATTTCAGTTCCCCATTATCAGAAAAAGAAGGAATTAATTATAACAGCATGAAAAAAATCTCCAATGTATGTCTCCTTTCCGAAACAGAATGGAAGCAGATAGACCTTTTTTTAAACAAGGAAGTTTAGAATAGAAATTTAGCATATATATAAATATATTTGACTATACCTATTAACAGAGCTGCTAGGCACATACCCACATATTCATAGAACATCCACACACATTTTTAAACACTATAAATAAGCCAGACCCAAGCCTTCCAATTAAAAGCTTAATTTAAATAAACCTTGATGTTTAGAAGCTCAATCTGTGAGCTAACACTCTACTTTCATTCCAGCTTTTCACACTGCTCTCCTCTTGTTTCTCTTTGATAATCCTCAAACCTAAAAAGAGGGCCTGTATTAACTTAAAGCTGTTCTATAAAATGCAAGAGTTCTAAGTACCTTGAAAGGATTTCTCAAAAAAGTTGAAAATACTTAATTACATATTTATTCCCCAAAAAAGGCAATTTATAGACCTATGGTCTTATTTTAACATACACTCGATCTCAACTCCTACACCTACTTGTCAATATTTTTAAATTCTGTATGTGAGAATTCTTGCCCAGATTGAATGCTCTGAGATAATCGAAGATCCCCAATGACCAAAGATTCAATTTCCTTTGTTATAGTATTTGTACTAATGTAACATATTGGATTAGTAAGTTTTAGAGCAAATATAAGCAAAATAGGTCTTCCACAGAACTTTCAAATAACCAAGATATTCATTAGTCAGCATGTTTTATTCTCTGAGTTTTTACATATTAAAAAAGATTATTCCTAAATAAATTATAAACCTAGTTTCTTGGGCCAATATTCATATGTATAGCAAGTAAGATTTAGACACAGCTACTCCACAAATTGATCACTTTATGCCCTCTACCAACCTATGGGAAATACCCATCAGGAGCAACATCCGAGTGTTTCAGCTCTTCTTGACTCTCATCTGACTCTGGACACCTGGGGTCACTCCAGGGCTCCAGATATGGAAACTCCTATGGAAGGTGCATCGAGTGCCGCAGGCAGGGTCAGAGTATGTAGGAATGGTCTTCTGACTAATCAGATAATTTCAAGCAATGCAAAACAAAGTCCCTATTCTTTTCTATTTGTATCTTAATAGTTAATGGCCATGTTTTCAAGAACTGGACAGATGTGCACAGGCTACTGAGTACTGTAAGTACTCAAGGGGGTCCTTATGACTTTGATTAAATTTAGCTTTACATCCTAGCTCTAAATATCCTCTCTCTCTTTCTCTCTCTCTCTCTCTCTCTCCATATATATGACCCTCAGAGACTTAGCCTTTCCCCAATAATAAGTAACCCACAAGGCAGCAGAAAACAGTAGCCCTGACCTGATTAATGGTCACAAGGTCAGGACCTCTAGCAGGTTAAAGATAACATTTTGACCTAAGTTATGTTTCAGCTCCTGCGCCATACGATAGAATGACCCCCTGGCTACTTTCCCATGAGACTGGACAGAGGGACACTGGAAAGGAGCTCAGAACTGTCCTCAAGACCTGAAGAAATGATTCATTACCCTCACCTCCCACCAATCAGCTCCCAGCATGACCCTGAACCCTTAACCTACAGTGTCTTGTGATTTTTCCCTATATAATCTGTAACCTATAGGCCATTGGGGAGTTGAGCTTTTGAGCATTAGCTTCTCATTGTCCTGGATGGTGCCGTTCATAAAAAAATAGCAAGTATTTCTCCACTGTAATTCTCGGTGTCTAGTGTCACTACTAGCACCGGGTGGACACTCTTTCTGTTCTATAAACACAGGTCTTGATCTTTTGTAGCGATGGTAAAAAGTGTCTCATATGGGTCAAATGGGCCTAGAATAATGCAAGCCATATATTTCAATGTAAATTTCTATTGGCCACATTAAAAAGGTAAAAAGAAAGAGGGACATTCGTTTTAATATGTCTTATTTAACCTGGTATATCCAAAATATCATTTCAACACATAATCAATATAAAA